GACGTGGCATTGATTGTAATCGATGAATTATTAACCGATTGCGGGCGACACGAATGACTCGATTGTCGCAATGTTTTCGAGACCCCCGGCGCGCGGCGAAATGATTTCATAGCCGAGCCGCTTTGCATACCGTGCTATTTAATGCTCCAGAAGGTGCGCCAGCCGAGTCGGCTAGAGCAGAGGAAGAGGGTGAGAGGCGGCGGGGCGGGAAGAAATATAGAGGAATTATCGTCTCTCTCTGTGCGCGCTGCATTGTTATTAGTAGCCAGATGGAAGAAAGCCGACGCGAGAGATCGGCGTTCGGTGTGACGTCAGCCGACCTCACCTAAGATCGTAGAAATAAACGTGAAATAATGTCGTTTAGATCGCGCGACGATCAGCGCGATCCTGAAGATGACGGATCTCCCGCATCCTTCGATCCTCACTTCCTTACTTTGATCATTTGAATATCCCGAGCGGCGGCAACACGAGATGAAGACGATATCACGCGAAGATAACGACTTGCGAAGGTATCGTATTGCTTCGAGGATTTCCTAACGAAGATTTTTTAAGAGTACGTGGAACTAATAGCATGGGGGGTGGGATAAATTCCGAAGGAGACGCTCGAAAACTCGTGTCTTAGAATTAACTCATTAACGCCCAAATGTGCTGAAATTTTACGTTGATTTGAGCCATTTATTTTACTACGGAAATGAGATCAGTTATTTATAAAGAGTACCATTCCTACCAACTTCGATGTCGCTCTATCGAATAGCGTTGAGGAAATTAAAAAAAAATCGTAATTTATGCAAAATGTTTGCAAGATAAAATTAAAAAACGCGTTTTTAGAGTTAATTTTTTCTACCGCTATTTTTTCTATAAAAACGTATTAGTATCACTCGGAAAAGTGTCTAAAACGTGTTTCCGACACTTTAACTTAAAAAGTATGCCATGTGTATTTTTTTCAACAAACATGGCGGTACCAAAATGGCGGTCGATTTGAAGCGTTTAATTCGAATTTTTGTTTATATTTGGTTATTAAAATTGTTTTAGGATCAATATTACTACAAAATTACATAGTAATTTACATAGTAATTACATAGTAAAACAATTTCGATAACCAAATATAAACAAAAATTCGAATTAAACGCTTTAAATCGACCGCCATTTTGGTACCGTCATGTTGAAAAAAAATACTCATGGCATATTTTTTAAGTTAAAGTGTCGGGAACACGTTTTAGACACTTTCCCGAACGATACTAACATGTTTTTATGGAGAAAATGGTAGAAGAAAAAAAATTAGTCCTAAAAATATGCATTTTTTATTTTATTTTGCAAAAATTTTGCATAAATTGCAATTTTTTTTATTTTTTCAATATTCGCTATTCGATAGAGCGACATCGAAATTGATAGGAAAGATCTTTGTAAACAACAGACCTCATTTCCGTAGTAAAATAAATGGCTTAAATCAACGTAAAATTTCCGTACATTTGGGCGTTAATGGGTTAACTCCTCGTGAGTTCTTCAACAAACGTCCTTCTTTGCCGAGTTAGTCCACCCAGATAGACTTTCATGATTATCAGGACGTGAGACAATCGATGATGGAAACTTTGCAAAACTTTAAATTACATTTATAAAGTAAGTATACTATATTGAATAAATAATTAATTTTACATCGCGCAATAATGTAATTTTTTGTTACATTGATCGTCTGCGAGGTGGTAATAAGACGCTTGCCGTGCTTGCGATTGTCGTTCCGATGCGGCAAATAATCGCCTTATGTCACCTGACTAATACACAACCACGGCGTAACGCGCGCGACGTACGACGAACCCGTCGCGGCCGTAGAGAAAAATAGAGGCGCAAGACGCTTTCGAATCCGCTTCCTCGCATTTGGCGGCTGCGAAGTGGAACGCGACCTTCGGCCCTTGTCGCGCCGAATTAATCGCATTACGTGGGCTTGTTTGCGTACACGCGCAAAAGGCTGTGGGGATGCGTGGGCGCGGCGGACACGGACGCCGCGATATATACCGTTCGTAAATTTCGCCGACGACGGGACGGCCATACCCGTCGCGTTTCTTCCATGCTTCTTTTCTTTTCCCGCCAGCCTTCTTTTTCTATTCGAAACCATGGGCCGATCGGCTCGCCGGGATAAGCATCGCGCGACGTCGCTGTAATTTCACACAGATTTACATCTGGCCGGATGCGTCTCTTATCTATTCCTCTCCATTTACGAGGATACCGTACGCCCGCGGCAGCGCGGCGAGATAGCTCGTGGATGAATTTTAATTTCCAGCGCCGTGGCCAAGCGCGCGGAACGTGGGTGAGTGCAATTGACGAGCGACGAATCGGTGCTTAAATTGTAAGCTCGCGACCCGAGTCGAAATTTGGACCCTATGTTGAACTTTGAATTCTATACCGCTAAGTACACGCAAAACAATGATTTAGTAATATTAGCTAAACCGCGGTAGCTGATTCAAACTTAGTCAAAAGGCTAATTGTTTAGCTGTCACTGTTAAGAATTGGCTATGACAGCTAAAATGCATTCGCTATGAGATACAAATATATTAGGTGACATTAAAAATGCACATTATTTCAAGTAGCTAAGAAAATGGCAGTTATTCCTAAATTTCTTATCGTATGCATATATTAAAGAAGTTTGCCGTACAGCTACAATCATTTGTTACAGTCATTTATTTCTAGCAACTAATATTTCTCGCTGTAGCGCCTAAGTTCAATAAATTTAGCTTCGGTAGTATCGACATTAGCTGTCCCTATTTCAGTGACACATCTTATCTGCCACAGCTATTTTTTAGCTCTGAAAGCTAGTCCTTTTTTTGCGTGTAGGAGCTAAGATAGCAAAGTAGATTTAATTCTAATGATACAATTTACTCCTACTTTGACTCTGATGATGTCTGAAATTTCCGCTTTCATAGAATATATATATTTTATAGAAATATTTAAAAAATTTAATAAATAACGAAACAGAAACGTTAAACAGCATACAAAATATACATTTTATTTGTTGCATATATTTCAGATATCAGGTAGGAGTAAATTATATCATTAGAATTAAATCTACTTTGCTATCTTAGCTCCTACTGTGGTGTAGAATTCAAGGTTCAACATAGGATAAAAATTTCGTCTCAGAAATGAGTGTCAATATCGTCAGAATAGGTTTCACCTAAGTTGTAGATTATCTAAGTAGGCTCAAACTATTTTTAAGAGCGTCAAAGTAGCGTCAAAATTTTGACAAGGTAAAGTTAAAGGTTCAAAAGAGAAGTTAATGAATATCAATATCGTCTGAGTGGACGCAAAATATCCTTAAGAGCGTCAAAGTAGCATCAAAATTTATGTTCAGGACCGTATTAAATTAATCATCAAGTTTGATGATGTCTGAAATTTCCGCTTTCGTTTTCTTTAGCATTAAAGTAGGTTGTATGATAGTAAAATCTCAGGAAGCAAAGTACATAGGTTCAATTGCGAATCTCTATTAAAGCTTTAGTTTCTACATAGAATATATGTATTTTATAGAAATATTTAAAAAATTTAATAAATAACAAAATAGAAACGTCAAATAGCATACAAAATATACATTTTATTTGTTGCATATATTTCAGACAGCATCAGAGTCAAAG